TTACTGTTCTTCCAGAAGACCTAGATTTTATTCCCAGCTCCCACATGGTGCCTAACAACTATCTATAACTCCAGTTCTAGGAGATTGGATGCCCTTTCTGACCTCTGCAGACATTCATTGCATGCACGTGGTGCACTTACATATATGCAGGTAAAACATGCATACACATAAAATAAAAAATAGTAAAAAATTCTTTTAGATTATTCTATGTGTATGCCTGTTTTGCCTGCATGTGTGTAGGTGCACCATTACATGCAGTACCTGCAGAGGTCAGAAGAGCAAGTTAGTACCCTGGAACTGGTTATACTGTAATTTAGCTAATAAAACATCTATTAATGGATTCCTGATAGTTTTCACTTTCCTATTATTATAGGCAGTGTTACAATAAAAAAATTCTTTTACATATACCTTTTTAGTGTGTGTGTTTCTAGAGGATAAGATTTTAGAATTGGAGTTGTTGGATTAAATAGCAGGTGGCTTTAGAATTTTAATACATTTATAATTTTGTTTTATTTTTATTAATCCAATTTTTCTTTGACAGTTTCATACAAGTATACAATATATTCTGATTACTTTTCTTCCACTCTCTTTTCTCCCACTTCTTACAACCCCTCCACCTCATTTGCCATATTGACATTTTTGTTTTGTTTTGTTTTGTTGTTTTGTGTTGTGTTGTGTATTTTGTTTTGTTTTGTTTTGGTTTGGTTTGTTTTGGTTTGTGACCCAGTGAATTTAACTGGGCCATTTGTGAGGACATGGGTTTGGAACTCTACATTGGAGCCTGGTAGGCTCACCAGTGAATACACAACTGAAGGCAATGGTTTTTTGCTTGCCATAATCTGTCCATTCCAAGAGTAGAACTGGCTCTTAACTGCTGACCCATCTCTCTAGTCCTTTAAAACTTTAAAAATGGGCTGGAGTGATGACTCAGTGGTTAAGAGCACTGGCTGCTCTTGCAGAAGACACGGGTTTGAATCCCAGCACCCACATGGTGGCTAATAACCATTCATAATTCCAGTTCCAGGGGATCTGACACCCTTTTCTGTCCTCTGTGGGCACTGCATGACATGAGTATGCTTACATACATGCAGGTATAACACTCATACACATAAAATAAAAATAAATAAAAAAATTAAGAATGGGGCTGGAGAGATGGCTCAGCAGTTAAGAGCACTGACTCTTCTTGCAGAGGACCCAGGTTTGATTCCCAGCACCCACATGACAGCTAACAACCATCTGTAACTCCAGTTCTAAGGGATCTGACATCTTCTTCTGACCCCCGCCAGCAGTACGTTATATGGGTGCAATTACATACATGCAGACATTATACTCATATACATAAAATAAAAATAATATATGAAGTATTAAGAAATATGTAAAGAATTTAAAACAATGTATTTTAATTAATTTTTAAAAAAATTACCACTGAGGCAGGGTTGCAGACCCCAGTGCTTATGAGGATGTCAGAGAACAGCCTTTTTGTCTTTTTCAGTTAAAAAAATTTTTTTGAACATCATACATGGTATAGTCTTTGAACCATTTTCATCCCTCCCAGTCCACCTCTAACTCTTCCCATGCCTGTCCACTGTTTCCCAATTTCCTGTCCCCTTATTATTGTTACATATACTTACATCTACTTATAGATGTACATATATAATTAATACACTGAGTCCATTCAGTGGTGCTTGTGTGTACCTGTGTTTAGGACTGCCCACTTGAAGTTAGATAACTTCTCAGGGAGTTCTGAGGAAAAGCAATTTTCCCTCCCTCAGTATCCATTGATTGCTTGAAGCGCTTCATCTTGAAGTGGGTCCTCTTGAAATTTCCCCAATTACCTTGGTATGTCAGCTGACTTTGTTATTATATGCAGATTTTGTTTGACTATCATACTGTGGAGATTTCATTGCTTTAGCTTTCTTATCATGTTTAGAATGCCTTAAGTAGCAGCAGGTGTTTGACCCTCTGCCTTCTGCATTCTCTCCACCCCTTCTTGCATGATATTCCCTGATCCTTAGGGAATTTGCATTGTAGATTCATCATTTAGGGCTGGGCACCTCAGAGATGCTTTGTCTCTGTTTGACCAGTTGTGGAATTTTACAGTAGTTTCCTTCTGTTGCAAAAAGGAGCTCCTTTGATGAGTGGTGAGAGGTACACTTGTATCTAAGAATTTGGAGCCAGTATCCAAGAGGACAGCCTTTTGGAGTTGGTTCTCTCCTTTCATTTTTTACTTGGGATTTGAAGATCAAACTTGAGTCTCTGGACTTGCAAGGTGATCTTTACCTACTGAGTCATTTCATGGGCCCAACTTCTTTTTTAAACTTCTTTGACAATTTCAAACATGTATATAATGTATTTTTATCAGAACCACCTCCCCTATCTCCCTCTCTTTATCCCCCTCCCATTCCTTTTGGAACCCTTCTTCCTAACATGCTCCCCTTCCTGCTTTCATTTGTAGTTTGTTTGTTTGTTGTCCTTACAACCCACTGATTTATTATTATTATTTTTAAAATCCACACTTTATTGACATTTCCTTAGTTTTAAGTCCAAAAATATTTAACAAGTTTATTTATAATTGTTATAAAGTTGAACTGTTGAAACTTGTCCCCTGAAACATTCTGACTTGCATTAATGCTTTACATCCCACATTTATATTCACACACAAATGAAACATTCACACACAAATAAAAATGGAAAAACTGCCAATACCTGATTTCTGTCCCTTATTTTTCCATGAGCAATCATATACTTAGGCACCTCTTGACCCCGTGGGGAAAAATATCTAAAATTCAGAACTACTGATAACAGGAAGAGGGGAAAAAATAGTTTTAGAATGAATTGTTTCCCCTCATAGTGGATTCTTAAGCATGTTCTCCCCATATGCAGCATGCTAGCTGAATATCTTTTGGCATAATTGTTACTTGTTTGGCATGGATAGCACACAGGTTGGTATCTTCCAAAAGGCCAACCAGATAGACCTCACTTGCCTCCTGCAAAGCACCAATAGCTACACTCTGGAAACACAGATGTGTTGAAGTCCTGAGCAGTTTCTTGCACCAGGTGCTGTAACCAGAGTTTGTAAATCAGTTCAGTGGACTTCTGTCAGGGTCTAATTTCATGGAGTGCCACAGTACCAGGCCTGTAATGATAAGGTTTTGTCCCCCCTCCAGTAGAGGTCACACTCTTGAGAGCAGCTTTTGTAGTGAATTGTTTCCTGGGTTCTTTACCACCATTGAATTTGTGGGCAGTCTGCTTTGTTTGATCCTTCATTTCACAGTATAGATACCTCCTTATTTAACCCCTTTCTCCTTGGGCTAGAGCTCAGCTAGCAATGTGGTGCCATGTTGGTGCTGCAGCAGCTGTGACCACCAGTAGTGCATTCTTTTTTTTTTTAAATATAAATTCTTAATTGAATTTTTGTGTATTTCCTACATAAAATCATCTTTGTACTCCCTTCCCCCTTCCCCTTCGGCAGCCTCCCAAAGCACCCCCCTCCTCGGCAGTTCATACATTCTGTCATTTGTATTAAGGACTATTATGTAAAGTTAGGGTCCTGAGATGTCCCTCAGTGCAAGTTTGTCCTCTGGGGTTTAGTCAGCCTATAAGTCTCTCCCTTCAAGATCATCTCTTCCTCCCTCATCCAGCAGTATTCAGCTTCCAATAATTCTTCCACTATGGTTGGGGCTTGCTATTCATTTCCACAGTTTTGTGCTGGGGTTTTTTCTGCCTGTTTGCACGATAACCCACTGAATTTAGCTAGGGTTGGTTGTGTGAGCCCAGGTGTGGAATTTTTTACTGTATCATAGGCAACTTACCAGTGGCTATACCTCTGTAGAATAAATGACTCCCCCTCTCCCAGCATCTACCAGTAGCTCCTCAGCTGTGGTGAGGTGTTATGTGCCCCTTCCTCTCCATGATAGTATGTTGATGGGCTCGATCTAGTGCAGGTCTTGTGCAGGCATCACAGCTACTTTGAGTTCATGTGTGCAGCAGTTTCATCATGACCAGAAGACAACATTTTATAGCACATATTTCTATCCTCCAGTTCTTACATCCCATTATGTACTCTGAGTGAAGATGGGGGCGGAGGGGGTGATCTGGATATCTCATTTAGGGCTGAGCTATATTTAACAGTCACTTATTCTCAGCAGTTTGATCAGGTACTAATTTCGGCATTATTCACTGAGTACTTCAAAGAACTAATAGCTCCTTTAATGTTTATTTTGTTTTAATTTACACTTAATATATTTATGGGGTGCAGTACTGGCTATTGTTTCTGATAGTTTCACAGTCGGCAGGAACATAGAGGTACCACTAAGCTCTATGTACTGTTTGCTTTGTTTCTGTGTGTGCCACAGGTGGTCAAGCCCTGCCATTCTCTCAGTTAGCTGAAACCAAAGAGAGCCTCTGAGCATCTTGTGATGCTCAGAAAGTGGGATGACTGCCTTTGGTTTCTTTTCCCCGGAAAAACTGTGAGCACTGGGGAGTGCTCGCCACCTGGCTCTGCCCATGTGCAAAAGTGAGATGGGTAGCACAGTTGGAGTGAGGCTGTCCCTATGATTCATCTCATTTGGGTTTGTTTAGTTCTTTATCCTATATGTATGTATTCTATTGTTTCTATGTGTTGGGACTTTTCAAAAGTATGTTCTCGTTTGTGGATAGATGGTTGTTGAACTATTTGTGGGGAGGAATGAGACCTAAGACCCCTTACTCTGCCATTTTCTGACGTCACAACTCACAATTAGCTTTTAATTGTTGTTCTTGTTGAATAAAGCTATTTACTATAGCTATCTGCAGATGAGAATTTTATAACATTATTGAAAATCTTATCTGGGCAATAAAGATAATTTTCATTAATGAAACTTTTACTCTTAATAATTTTGCAGTGGGTGTAAGAATATAAAGTGAAATAGTGCTTGATTTTTGTTAGATGGTCATGTTTCTTGTTTTATGATGTATAAGTACTTTAATATGATGCATGTTGCTTTTTTTGTATTCTGCAGAGAGTGATAATGAACTCTCAAGTGGAACAGGTGATGTGTCAAAAGACTGTCCTGAAAAGATCCTCTATTCTTGGGGAGAATTGTTAGGAAGATGGTAAGAATTTATTGTTATTATTAAAAATTTTATATTTGTATAATTTGCTTTAATTTTATACTAATTAAAAATCTATCAGTTAAAGAAAATTTAAAACTATAATATTAAAAGCTTTCTTGGGGCTGGAGAAATGGCTCAGCGGTTAAGAGCACTAACTGCTCTTGCAGAGGACCTGGGTTCAATTCCCAGCACCCACATGGTGGCTATGAACTGTCCTTAACTCTAGTTCCAGGGGAATTGGATGCCCTCTTCTAACCTCTGTGGGTGCACTCACATGCATGCATGCAGTAATACACCCATACACATTAAAAAAAGAAAAAACTTTCTTTAAATTATTTATTTGGTGGTTTTGTATTCATGATGTGTACGTGACAGTCTGTGTGTAGTCAGAGGACAACTTTGTGGAGTCATTTTTCTCCTTCCACCTTTATGTGTGTTTCAGGAATCAAACTCACATCTCCAGGCTAGGGTGGCAGGCAGCTTTAGTAGCCGAGCCTTCTTACAGGCCTTAATGTAGTTTAAAACATAAAAATTAAAATGGGTTTCATAGATACCTTCATATTTGTCTAGATCTGTAATGGTTCATTTTAACTTTCAGAAGTTTTCTCTCCCACACACAATTTGAAGCTTACATGAAATGAACAAATTCCTGGAAAGGTTGGAAGTGCCAAAATTCACTTAAAATGAAGCTACCGGAATAGTCTGATCTCTTTTAACCAAACTGAATTCATTTCTTTGTTAAAATATTTTTTGGAAGTGGGGAACAGGGTCTCACTTAGCCAATTTGGCCTTGAATATGACTGAGGATAACCTGAACTTCTGATTCTCCTGCCTCTACCTCTGCAGTGCTAGCTTTGGTATACCAGCAGGGCTTTGTGGATGCTAGGCATCTGAGCCATATCTTCAGCCCTTTGTTAAACTTTCTTAACAAAGAAAGCCTGAACCATGCTAGAAAATTCTACTAAACATTTTTAAAAGCTGTACTAAAATTTTATGTAAACCTTTCTGGAACACAGGAGTAATTATTTTCAATTAATTTTATGACACTAGTATGCACTGATCTCAAAACCAAATTAAAATATTATGACAAAACCACAGATTAATATCCTTCATTAATATAAGCTCAAAAATCTTCAACAAAGTGCTAGTATGTCAAATGCAATGATTTATAAGAAAAAGGAGAGTATAGCTTTACAATGGAATTTATTCTGGGAAAAGACATCTGGGTCAGCATTTGAAAAGAAATTATTGTAAGTCATCATGTCATCACCAGAAGAAAACTAGAGTAATTATATCATTATTTAAAAAAAAACTGTTTGAAAAAATCTCAGCATTCATTTATGATAAAACTCTGAACAAACTAGGAATCCAGAGAACTTTCTCAACTCTACTATAGGTACCCATGAAAAACCTACAGCTAACTGTTTGCAGAGTAAAATCTTAGGACTGCAAACAACACAGGGATACTCACTTTTAGCATTCTCATTTGACTAGTGCTGGAGATCTTACAGAGTAAAGGAGAAAAAGCAAAAGCAAACAGGGTTTGAAAGTAAAATACAAAATGATGTTCATTTTGTAGAGACATGATTTTTGTTATAGAAAAGAATCAGAAGGCTGTTGTATGTATGCATTGAAACACTGGAAAATAGTAATGAAAGAAGTAAAAGAAGACCCACATAAATGCATGTTCTAGTTTGGTTTCTGTTGCTATGAGAAACACTAACACCAAAAGCAACTTGGGGAGGAAAGAGTTTTTTCACCTTACTGGTTGCAGTCCGTCTTTGAGGGAAGTTAGGGCAGGAACAGAAGGCAAATATCTGGAGGCAGGGACTGAAGCAGAGACTATGGAGGAATGAGGTTTCCTAGCTTGTTCCCTCTGGCTTACTCAGCTACCTTTCTTAGACAGCCCTGGCCCACCTCCTTAGGGATAGTATTGTCCACAGGGGTTTGGGCTCTCTTACAACAATTCTCAATTAAGAGAATGTCTCACAGACATGGCCACAGTCCATCTGGTCTAAACAATTATTTAGTTGAGGTTCCATTTTCTGAGGTGACTCTAGGATTGTGTGAAGTCGACAGTGAACGTTAACTGACATTCTACCTCTCGTCATCCTTGATACCAAATATATCACCTTAAATGATAAGCTTTCCTTTCTTGTTTGTCCTCAAGATCTCACATTAATATAAAATACAATACAACTTTAAAAGCCCCACCATCTTTAAAAAATTGCAACACTTGGGGCTGGAGAGTTGGCTCAGTGATTAGGAGCACTGACTGCTCTTGCAGAGGACCCAGGTTCGATTCCCAGCACCCACATGGCAGCTATGAACCATCCTTAACTCCAGTTCCAGGGGAATCTGACCTCCACAGCGTTGCATGACATGGGTGCACTCACATACATGCAGGCAATATGCTCATACACATAAAAAAATAATGATAAAAAATTGCAACAGTTTAAAAGTCCAAGCTCTCTTTGAAAAATCTAGTCTTTTAATTGTGGGCTCCTGTAATACCAAAACCAAATTATATACTTTCTTATTCCAAGAGGGAAGAACCAAGGCACAGTTATAATCAGATCAAAGAAAACCCAAAAGCCAACAGTGTAAATAGCTCAGTTTCTGACATCTGGGACTTACTCATGTTCTTCTGGGCTCCAAAGGGCTTGGGCTGTTGCACTTCTCTAGCTCTACCATCTTTAGCTCACACGTCTTGTCTCATAGATTCAGGCCAGCTTTACTCCATAACTGCTACTATTATCGATGGATGTCCCACAGTCTGGTGTCTCCAATATCCTGGGGTATTCATGACAACTGAGACTGCACTTTTACCAGTGGTCTGGTCTGGCTTTTCTTACCTTGCCTCAAAGTGCCAAGCCTCAGCTTTCCATGATCTCTTATTCCTGCAATGTTCATGCTGCCCAAACTAGTACTACCTGGGAGACTTGTACATTACCAAGCCCCATGGCAGCATGAGATGCAGCCTTGACCCCCTCTTGACCACACCTTCTATGTGCTGACCTTGGAAAACTATTTTCCCAGAAGATTTTAGCCTTAATGATGCTGGTCTCTTATTAATCACAGCTTATTTTCAACCCCAGCTAACTAGCATCCATTGTTTCAGTAAGGTAAAGGTTTTTCTTTTACAGACTGTTAAAAAATTTTTATGTGCATGAATGTTTTTCCTACGTCTATGTAATTGTGCCTGGGTCATGCACTTGCCCATGGAGGCCAGAAGAGAGCATTACCCTGGAATTGGAATTACTGATGGTTGTTAACTGCCATGTGGGTGCTGGGAGTCAAACCCTGGTCCTCTGCAAGAGTAGCCAGTGCTCTTAACTGCTGAGCCATCTCTCCAGCCCCATTTCTACAGAGTCTTAATTCAAATATATCACACAAATGTCCCCTGATAGAGTCTCTGAGGGACTCTCAAAATTCTGACACTTTACAAGTCAGCCCTCCACTGCCTGTATTTCGCTCAGTAGTCTTATCTTTCAAACTTCCAAAGGAAAGCCCATTGATCTCTGAGCACTGAATGGCTTTTCCAGCCTAAAATTCTAAAAGCTTCCATAATCCTCCCCAAACCAACAAGGTCAAGTCTGTCAAAGTGAGACTCCAACTCTTTGGTACTAATTTCTGGCCTTGTTTTTTTTTTTTTGTTGTTGTTGTTGTTGTGATAAATATAAATATCATGAGCAAATACAGCTTGGGAAAGAAAATGTTTATTTCATCTTCCAGACTGTAGTTCATTATTGGGGGAAGCTAGGTGCAGCCTGATGGGGAAGTTGTTCAGCTGAGATTGACCTTTCCCCAAGTGTGTCTAGGCTTGTGTGAAGTTGACAAAATCTAACCAGCACAGCTGAGATGATGTGTAAAGGAAGCTGTGAAGGTACACTGCCTCCTGACTTGCTTCCTCTGGCTTGTTTAGATACCTTCCTTATATAGCCAAAGCACACTTACCTAGCTGAAGCTATGAGAATGTTCATGTATACTATATTCATAGAATGAAAGAATTGCTATTGGGGCTGGAGAGATGGCTCAGCGGTTAAGTGCACTGACTGCTCTTGCAGAGGACTCGTGTTTGATTCCTAGCACCCACATGATGGCTAAGAACTGTCCTTAACTCCAGTTCCAGAGGAATCTGACACCTTCTTCTGACCTCTGCAGCATTGCACGACACGGGTGCACTCACATACATGCAGGCAATGCACTTGTACACATAAAATAAAAATAAATAAAAATATAAAAAAAATCGTTATTAAGATTTAATTTCTTTCTAAAGTCACCTATATTCTTAGGGAAACTGCAATAAAAATCCCAGAAGAAATATTTTGTAGTTTCCAAGATGATACAAAAATTTATATGAAATGCAAATGAATTACAATAGCCAAAACAATTTTGAAAATCAAGAATAAAGTAGGAAGACGGTACTTTTTAGCATTTATTGCATGAATTGTGAGAGGACTGATGCAAAGATAGGCATATGGCATGTTGGCACAGAATAAAGAGTTAAGAAATAGAGATACATAATCTAAATATTCTCAGATAATATATACCAGGGATCAAATAATACTTTAAAAGATAACCAACATAGTTAGCCATCAGAAAACTAAAAATCAGAAGTATTGAATACTGATTAAAAGTACTGATGAGTGGACATTTCCTATTACAGTTTCCTATCTCTTCAACTCCATGAACACTTCATATTCCTGTATTCATTTTTATCTTGACTCTTGTTTTAATTTCTTTTCTATAAAATCGTAACAGTTGACTCATTCACCCAGTGGTCTTTTTCTATTTAATCATCTGTTCTCTCTTAGAAATCCCTGTGAACACTGATGATTTAGAGATAAGACATGAGATAGTTCCTATTCTCAAAGTTTTATCATGTTGAGTCTTTTAAGCAGATAATTGTGATACAATTGGTAAATACTTATTGTTAATAATCTCTACCCCATGGCAATTTTCAGTGTATTCAAAGTAGAAAAAAAAGAGAGTAAAGA